TGGAATTGTAGAGGGCTGGGTGGGCCCTCTACAATTTCCCAGATCAAGGACTCTATTTGAGTCCACCACCCAAATGTTATTTTTCTTTCGGAGACCAAGAAATCAAAAGCTTTTACAGTCACTGTGTGCAGGAAATTGGGTTTTGGCAGTAGGTGGCATCTGGTGCCACCTAGGGGGTCTAGAGGTGGACTGCTTGTTTTGTGGGATGTGAATACAGAGATAAAGCAGATTGTTGCTAATGATTTTTGTGTCCAGATGGAGACTAAGGGTCCTGGGATGAGGGAGTGGAATTGGCTTATTTTTGTCTATCTTAGCACTGACAGGAGGGAGAGGGCATCTCAATGGGAGTTTCTGGAGATGGCCAGACTTAACTGGGGAAGGTGTTGGACCATTGCGGGGGATTGGAACGATATTGTCAGTAATGAGGAAAAGAGAGGAGGAGTGAGAAGACAAGAATCTAGTTTCAGAGGGATCAGGTCCTTCATTCATAATATGGGGATGCATGAGGTGGAGCAGAAAGGAGCCTTTTTCACTTGGGGGAACAACCGAGAGGGAGATGGATATGTTGAGGAACAGCTTGATAAAATTTTCACTTCTTATGACTGGATGGTGGCCTACCCAAAGATGGAGGTGGTAAATTTCTACAGGACAGCGTCGGACCATAATGTGTTGATGATGGACACTGATATGGAGGTTGGGAGGTTTAAGAAGAGATTTTCCTTTGATAAATTATGGGCAAAGGTTGATGGGGTTCAAGATGCTGTTAAAGCTGGGTGGCAAATTGCGGTTGAAGGATCTGCGATGTACCAAGTTCACCAGAAGATAAAAAGCACTAGAATGGCTTTGTTAGCCTGGCACAAACCTATTCACAGAAAAAGTGAGAAGGCTGTTATAATTCTTACTGGGAAGTTGGAAGAGCTGAGAAAGGGTGGTCATGAAAGAAATTGGGAGGAATGGTATGATCTGAAAGTTGAATTGGATAGGGCCCATCAAAAAGAAGAGGTTTACTGGAGAATGAAATCTAGGGCTATGTGGCTTAAGGAGGGGGACAGAAATTCCAGATTTTTTCATGCGGTTGTGGCCCAAAGAAGGAAATCGAATACAATTCAGAGGCTGGTGACGGGAGAGGGAGTGATCTGTGCTTCTAAAGAATCCATTGTGCATCATCTGGAAGGTTTCTATTCTAATCTTTTTTCTTTTGATGGAAGCTCTGAGGAAGATGAGATGTTGCAGCATATTCCTTGCTCCATTTCTGATGAGTTGAACAATAATCTTATTTCATCGGTGGAAGAGATGGAGGTTAAGGAGGCTCTGTTCCAAATGGAATCTGATATGGCACCAGGGGAGGATGGTATGTCTGTCTTTTTCTT